GAATTCTGTAGTACATATCAAAACATCTCATGTACAGATTTATGCTGAGCAAATAAAAACAAACAAATGTCAATAGTCTCTCATAAAGGAATGAAAACTTATCTCAGATAAGATTTATTTTCTGTGTCATTTTTATAAACTGATAATTCTGACTTTTCATAATGGCCTAAACAAGTCAAAGTGTTTTTCCACAAGAAATTGCCTATTTTCAGTGCTACTTAGAGATTCTACTGTAGAATTATTACAAACAAATACAGCAGAAAACAGAACTAAGTAATATTAGCACAATGGCATTACTTATTATATAATATGCATTTAATTTCTAAACAAAAAAATAAAGATTTTCCAAATAAATTATTCATTTTGGGGTATTTTTTGCATCCTCGTAGAGAGTCATAATATTTAATCCGATAGATTGTGCCACTGAAAATAAAAATGTCCTTCATTTGACAGTGTAGCTTAACTATTTTTGCATATTTTACTGGCTTTTGTTGGTTTTTTTTCTAATGGAGAAGCTTTTCACTGTCTAATAGTTCATACAATGTAAAGACAATCTATTCTTATAATCCATAAAATATAGCTAAGAATCAAATAACAGAAAAGGTTAAACTGGCCTAACTGAATTAAGCACAGTTAGAAAATTTACTGAACTTATTAATTCTGTAATGAACTTCTGTGTTTGACTCCTTTTCACATTTGATCTGCTAGGCATTCTTTATTTCTCTTTTTTTGTCAGCTCATTATGTGTATTGCATATTACCTTTCTACTCTATGATGACCAATCTACAAATCCTGATATGTCAGTGGGAGAAGACAGTTTATAAACTGTTTTGCTGGCATAGTATTCTTTTCTGTCAATAATCACAGCCTTACTATTACAGAAGTTTACCAGATGAAGTAAGAACTTTCCTACATCTATTGCAAAACAGATGTATTCAAACTCTACAGTTAAACATTTCATATTTACGTATTTTCATAAAAATAGTTTAACATATGCTTTACAAAAAAAATGCAGTAGGCTCTGTTTTCTATTTACTTAATTTACCTTACCAAGCGGGGCACGCGTGTCTTTGCCAACAGATTGGCCAGCCTGGTAAGGAGGGCTTTAAACTAGGCAAGATGGGGGAAGGGGAGTGGTATAGTGGCAGGGGAGTCAGTAAAACACCGCTCAAGTCAGGATGCCTCCAGCGGGTGCATACAGCCAGGGGAGACAGCATGCAACATGGCTATGGAGGCTTCTCTTGCACCTCTCCTGGGAAGCTTGCATGCTTGACTGGCTCTCTGAAATGCCTGTACACCAATGCACGCAGCATGGGGAATAAACAGGAAGAGTTAGAGATCTGTGTGCGGTTGAAGAGCCATGATCTCATTGCAGTGACAGAGACATGGTGG